TTCGATCATTGTTGTTGAATCGAGAAGATCGTTCGTTCTCGTTTAATTGCCGTTTCAGGTTGCATCACGCTGTATAACTTAAATTTAAAAATTTTAGGTGGAAGAAAAGCCTGATATCACTTATAGTGATGTTGGAGGTTGTAAAGAACAAATTGAAAAATTACGTGAAGTTGTCGAAACGCCTCTGCTGCAAGTAAGTTGCCTCGATTTTGATCGAGTATGAGTTTTTTATTCAATTTGCGTAAATGACCTCAGCAGAACACATTCTCTATTCTCACACATCAGTATACAAGAAACATGGTTGCACGAAAGGGAGGAAAATGGTCAGTATCCTCTTATTATCCTCCAACGGCCTTCTTATGTACACTCTGTACCATATATTTCGTCTTCCACGATCCATAGGGAACCGGACTACCGGTCTACATGTACCCATGTTTCGCTATGTATTTTTCCCAATTTTTCGTATCGTCTTTGATAGCACCATAAATAGCATCGATGCTTGAAAGGTTCGTAGAGTTTAATTGCCGAAACTATTGTTTTTAGATTTACAGAATTTACCGTGCTAACAGTATAATTGTCTGGTAGAAGTCTTTAAAGATGATTCGGTTAATGAATTATCTTGTATTATCTTGTACAGTCTTTACTAAGCCATTTGTTCTTTTTTGTAGTCTTTTGTTTGTAAAAGTGAAGCATTGTTTAAGGTTCTGAAAATAAATATTATGCCAGATCGTTTTATGTACTTTTAGATTTTCGAACCGTCGATCCTCATCTTGTGGTTTCATAAATTTTCGTTTAGGGTAGACAGCGTTGTAAAAAATTTGGCAAATGCTACCATCACGAACATACAAAGACTTGGCCTGAATTTAACATTCTGGGATTTTGGTCTTTGAGAGTACCTTTCCAATCGATAGGTTTGCCCTGAGGGTTCCATAAGATCTGCGAGCATCTGTTCAGATTCAAGTTAAGAACTTCATAACCCTTACTGCCTGCTGATGAGTACAATGCTCTACACTCTGTCTCATGTGACCTTTTAATGTTGTCATTCCTTTTCTCAGCGCGACATTGGATTATTGAAAGTATTTACGGGTTTCACTTAGATCACGTCGACTTTCTATAAGTTTTTAACAATTTCTTGTTACCGCTACAATTGATGCTACTGAATACTTTTTTCTCGAAAACTTTGACGCTGAGTTAGTTAAACCTAGTAATTTTAGCCAGAAAAGTTTGTGAAACTTGGAATCGAACCTCCAAAGGGAGTTTTGCTTTACGGACCTCCTGGCACTGGCAAAACGTTATGTGCAAGAGCCGTAGCTAATCGTACCGATGCATGTTTTATACGTGTGATTGGTTCGGAACTTGTACAGAAATACGTTGGCGAGGTACTGCGTAGTGTATTTTTAAATGTTACTAATACAGTATCCTAGGGAGCCCGAATGGTTCGAGAGCTTTTCGAAATGGCACGGGCGAAAAAGGCTTGTCTTATATTTTTTGACGAGATCGACGCCATTGGAGGTATGTCTTGCAAGGAAGATCTTGCGTTAAAATGGTATTGCAGGCGCACGCTTTGACGATGGCATGGGGGGCGACAATGAAGTACAACGAACGATGCTGGAGCTGATCAACCAGCTGGACGGTTTCGATCCGAGGGGGAACATAAAAGTACTGATGGCAACAAACAGACCTGACACCTTGGACCCAGCATTGGTTAGGCCGGGTAGATTAGATCGGAAGATCGAATTCGCATTGCCAGATCTTGAAGTATGCTTCTTGTCTAAAAGCAGGGAAGTCTGAAATCGTTGTTATGCGCTCTTTAGGGAAGAACACATATTTTTAAAATTCACGCCCGGCAGATGAGTGTTGAGCGAGACATCCGTTACGAATTACTCGCTCGCCTTTGTCCCAATAGCACTGGTAAGCGACTTTCTGACGCTATTTTGCAGTAATCAAAGTATAACAGGGGCCGAGATTCGAAGCGTTTGCACCGAAGCCGGGATGTTCGCGATCAGAGCTCGACGGAAGGTAGCTACAGAAAAAGATTTTCTGGAAGCCATCCAAAAAGTCATTAAAGGATATGCGAAATTCAGCGCCACCCCCAGATATCTAACTCACAACTAGCGCTCTATACGTTTGTATTTTATTATTGTTAATAAATTCCGAAAAATCTTTGTTGTTTAAAAACAGCTAATTTTTTATAGTGCGTTTCAAGATCAGTCTGTTTATATATGTATTTCTTATATACTACCGCATAAACATCGTACGACGGAATATGTAAAACAACGAATGACTCCTCCAAAACCAGATTTCTTGGTGCATTGTACCCCTGATTCCTACCTCCTAGTAGCCTATGGAGATGGGGGTGCCATATAGCCAGGCCACGGCTCCATGGCATTTGAGCACCTGCAGTATCAGATGCATTTTACAAGGTTTTGTCCGGCAGAGCCACATCGCGCTCATAAAGAATGATGTTACAAGAGCTGGACCTTCACACCAATACGATGTCTAATTCTTTTATTTTTGATCATTCAGAAACATGGCAAACAGTTTCACTCTCGCCCATTCTCTATATAACGAGATGCGCAGTTGAGTGAACTCCGTGGATAAATACTGCGCGAAATATGAAACGAAGAAATTCGTAGCAGGGGTTAAAATTACTTTATTATATAACAGAATACAAAGTCGGAATGGAAAAGTCCTTTTTTATATATGAACAAAATTAGCCGTTTCTTTAAATTTCACATAATCCTAAGGCACCGGCGCTGAATTTATTGCTGTTTGTCCACTGAAGTGGTCTGGTGGTCTGATATTTCCAAGATTTCAAGAAGAAGAGAAGCCAGAAGCTCGACATTATTTTCTCCGGGCCTTTCGTTTAACAGCCGATTCACCGATTCGCGTGGAAACATTTCGTAGAGGATGTTAAACTTGTCATTACTTGCCTGTAGCAGCGGTAGAGATGTTTGATAAGCGGGTGCGTTGGTAAATGTAAGCGGCGTAACATTAGAACGTTCTCCATCAGTTCTATGATATTCTTGTAAAGTCATACAACAAGCATCGACAGCAATCTTTTGAGCAACAGGCATGTCACAAAGATTTTGTGAAAAAGTTGCTTTAGTTACCGGTTGTGCTTCCTTGTCTCTTTCTGTAAGCTGTCTGTGCAATACATCGTTTAACATCCATGAGAAATCGTGCTCTGATGGTTCCGAAACGTTGTAATTGCTAAAACAAAATAAATACAACACATTGCTCGATGTGACAACTGATAACAATAACCGAAAATGCTGTAGCGTGAATTCTGATACCAAAAACGATCTGTGTGAATCCTGACACTCGATGGAGAGAACTATTAGACAAAAAATATCTGTTAATAGAAGCATGTCAGAGGAGACTTGTTGGCCAGTGGGATATGGTAAAACGACCAACTCGTCTAGGCTGACTCAGAATTACAAGATAACAATCACAAACGAATGATGCCTCAAATGCAATTCAACGACTCAACTGTCAAATTCTCTATGCCTCAAAAGTTTAAATGCATCTTATCATCCTTATCCACTCGTTCCTAAAGGTCAGGCAAAGTTCAGTTATTAGCTATTTGCGAAAGTTCATGTCACTCACGTAGTATCAGAAATTGATATACAGTATGCAGTTGGGATAATTTTTCAAATGCTTCTCAAACTGAACTAACTGATAACCACTAGTCCAGATACCGATTATACTGCAAGCATTCAAATCGATTTTAATCTCTGAGCTCACTTATGGTCATGCAATAGATGAGATGGGTGGTCTGAGACGAATCGCTGACATCACACAACTTGCATGGAAGGGATTACAGGCAACCGGAGGACCTTGGTGTAGAGCAGCTGATTTCCAGTCTCTCTTGAAGTCACAGCCTCCCAGAAGAAAGGAAGGCGAAACAGTTACTACCTGCCAAACCGATCGGCCAAAGATGATTCTGCTTATTTTCTGTTGCAGCTCAGATGCTGGCGCAGGATCGACAACTATGGAGAAAAACAGATACAATCTGGCGATGACAGTGACTGACTGACAGGTGACTCAGCAGCGGGTATAGGTTAGGAAAAAGAAGAAGAAGAGGCGATTCTTCAACTTTTCCGCAGCTTGGTAGATCATAAGCGAACAAACAAAAGAAAAAAATTTAATATTTAAACTTCCTTGTAATTGTGTCAACATACCCGTTACATGAAACGCAGGCGAGATTAATCACTTTTTTCCATATATTGTACCTACGTCTAAAAATAAACATTAGAACGAACGGTCATTTGACAGAATCAAGGCCCTGAAACGTGATATTCTAGTGGAAAATCTGTTCTGATAATCTGCTAGTAAACCGGGTTGAATGATAGTTTTTAAATGTATCGAAAACGCAGTCACTTAATGAATAATGGATTCCGAAGTTAAAACGATTTCAGATAAGTTAAGGGTCGAACAACAACTGGTAATTGGTAACATTCGGTAATGGAACAACAACTTGTTAAACGGCCTAATAACAAGGCGTCAAAAAATGAAACATCAGAGGGAAACTGAAACCGATGCTTTCCGTTCTTGCCATACAGACCTTCAGATGTGCTTCGGGTGATATTTGCTTAACAGCTCAGCAGCACTTCTATTATTAGCGGAGTCGAATAATGACATCAATGTTCGCGTACTGATTTAAATAGCGGAGGGGACTGTTCTAATCAAAACGGCGCAAAGATTTCATAGTTTCTTATAGATGGGAAACGCCAGACTGTGACAAATTTTCTGAGCTTCGTTCAGCGCCTCTTCTAGCTATTTTCTTCCATGCTTTCGGCATGGCCATGAAAAAGAATGTCCTCGTGCAGCGTGTTCAATCGCCCCATATTCCCACAGATTTGCACACATTTTCAACTCAGAGGGGAGTTCTTGTATTCAGCAAAACTTTCCTTCACAATGCTACGCTAAAGTTCATTTTCGTTCACAAAATGGGTCCATGTTAACTCTGAAGTGATGGCATGAATGTCACTTGTACAAGATTTGCCGTAGCGACGATGATATTTGCAAAGATAGCCTGGAAAGTCAAGAGTTTAATCATTATGGTCACTTAATAAGGAATGAAATTTAGGTCTTCAATATCAATTTCATTCCATAAATTTTCTTAACTTTATTACAAAGGCTTTCACAATAGTAATGATCTGTCCTGCCCCGGTGGGATAGTACTTGATATGCGGTACAAATTACCATTTTAACCGCATTTCTGAGTCTGTAACAATCCGTGTTCTTACGAGGCATACCCTCTTTAAATTTAAAGACAAAATCAAGGGACAAACGATCTGAACTAAAAGCAAGGAAAAGAGTAACAACTGAAGAATAAGATAAACTGTCTCCAGTTTGTCAGATTTCATGGTCGATAATCTACGGTAAAAAAACAGCTGGATAGCATGGGGGAGAGAGAATACATGTAATGACTCCTCCAAACTGCATAAACTAACCACGATTCTATTCGCAGGTGTAGAAACTCTGAAAACAACCAGATGATGTATAAAAACCAATCTTTACCTGTCAATAAAAATGTGCCGAAAGCGCAATGAAATGCATGTGATTCAATTAGCAAGAAATTAAGTCGATTAAGAATTAGGTTTAACGCCTCGAATGTTTACCTCTTCCCGACTCCAGTCAGATATGGCCATAGCTGTGTCCTTGGTTTGATGACGGAGACAATGTACGGTGTCGTATAAGGAAACTCGCGATTCACCTAAAGAAAACGATACAAGTCAAAAGCGATGACTCCCCAATGGTCCGTACACTTGAGGACGTCACCGACTGCAGATACGAATCCAAAACTGGACGACAGTCTGTCAAACCAGGAGGAAGCAAACGGTCAGAGAGCATATTTTCTATGTCCTTTAGCAGCTTTTGCCGCTGCTCGTCTTCTATATGCCGCAAACCCGTCGTTCGCACCGTCTCCCCATCGCGAAAGTACAAAGAGTCGTAAAAGTACGCAGAATCATTTCTGTTCTGGCAATCGAAAACTGGACAGAATTGGCCTTCAACGAAAGTGAACGAGATTACCCTGAAAATGCAAGAGCTATCGCGATGATACGACTGGGCGGCTATCAACAATTCTAATCAATCGTTAGATTTTAGAAACTTTCGATGACTGCCAACTTCCGAACGAAACTGGAATTTATTACCACTGTAACAGAGAATTCTACCGTAGACTTCTGAAATTGATTGGCAGCAGAACCAGGAAATTATAAAGGGAAAGAAAGTTCGTAGCCGCTGATCGGAATGTCGGTCTTCCTTACACTATCACGGTGGGGCATGTTGGCCCTCTTTTACAACTCATAGAATTAATTTAGGCACTGATCATTATTTCCAAGCCATAAAGTAGGAATTCCTCATTTTAAAGGAAGAATTAACATATGTGGCAAACAGTGTGTAGGTTTACTGTTCTTCCCAAAGAGTGGTACTTATTAACCTCGAAACCGGACCTCTTCGGTTCTGAGTCCGACGCTATACCGACCAAGTGACCCGGTCTGAAGCAGCGTGGAGTAAATTCCTTGCTAAACGAAAGTCATGCTTCAGAGAAAAATAGTACTCTGCGGAAATCGAATCCGACACCTTCGGACTTCGAAGCCGACCTCAAAGGCACCATGCCACCACATCTCTGTAAAACCAAGACACTCCCTCAGGCTTCCACATGGAAATAAACCCAACAATAAAAGCCTTTCTGAAGCGCGTACGGTAGCAGCAAAATTAAAATGAAGAGCCGTACGAAAAAACCGATCAAACAGTTTGTCAAGTGCGAATGTATTTCATCAATGAGTGCTCATGCCAAAAAACGCAACGTTACGGGGGAAAATAAAACGCAACTGACCGTAAATCTATCACATTCTCGACCAGCAGTCGTACAATTTTGCGAACGATTCACTGCTTCAGAAACGGAGGTGTTTGTCAGTGACAATAAGTCTGTCTGGTCTAAATTTTTCAATGTTCACTGATAGTGCAGAGGCAAACAAATAAGTCTCAATTCGAACTGCACCCAGTTTAAAAATGTCAGAACTTTCTTATTCAACATGCATGCTTCAGCAAGAAGTGAACAACTTGTCTTCGGTTATGCAAAGCTGCCATCGGTGAGAACGCTTACATGGAAACTGTTCGTTCTTAACACTGCTAATGAAAACCGAACTTTGCAAAGCTTTCTCAATTCTATCAAGCGAGAAGTAAATTTTAGTCTGGGGTACAGGCGAGAGGGCAACGAGGAACTTAAAACAGCCACCCAATTAAGCTAGTTAATCATTATTCGCCAGGATGTTAATCACTGATATGACAAGACACACAGCAAAAGGAAAATCTCCCATCTGCCATT